GAAGCATCAGAAACACAGGAAGCCTTTATAGCCAAGTCACTCATCAGACAATTGCCTGGGTCCCTAAATTCCACCTTGCCTGCCCTCTATTAGCAAAGTGTTGGGAAAACACAGCCTAGCTCTTTACACAAAGCCTTTTGTTGGCTGGTCAGCTTTGGAAAACTTTCTTTTCTCCCCAAGTGACTGTGGTGCCATGAAAAACAGGAAGAGGTTGAATACAGTAATTTAAACAGTCAGATTCCATTTCCTGGCCAAAGGAAAAGAAAACACCAGCAAAAGGCAGAAGCCAGGTGATAGTTGGGGACAGACAGTTTTATTATCTTGGACAGATACTTGTGTTGTGTATCTGGTAAAAGCTACAATGATGGGGGTGATAGCTTTGCATTTCAGGGACTGGAGTCTGTCAGACTGCAGAGCAGCAGGTGATGCTGGGAGGGAGATCATGCTGATGAGGATCTCCCAAGATAGCAGCCCTGGGTTGCAACCAGCTGCTAAGTTGACAGCTGGGATCACAGGCCAACAACACACTTTGTCTGGGACTTCAGTGCAAGCCAGTAAGAATTGTCATTCCTCTCCCATCTCCCTAGCAGGTCTTGGTACACTCATGATGTTTTGGGGTCAGTCTCCAAGACCCTTCCCCTCTTCACGGGGGAGAGGAGCTTCAGAGGGCTGGAGCAGTTCTATGGGGACAGGCTGAGAGTTGGGGTGTTCAGCCTGGAGAAGAGAAGGCTCCAGGGACATCTTAGAACAGCTTCCAGTACCTGAAGGGGCTACAGGAAAGCTGGGGAGGGACTTTTTACAAGAGCATGGAGTGATAGAGCTAGAGGGAATGGCTTTGAACAGGTAGAGGAGAGAATTAGGCTACACATTAGGAAGACATTCTTCACTGTGAGGGTGCTGAGACACTGGCACAGGTTGCCCAGAGAAGCTGTGGATTCCCCCACACTGGAAGTGTTCAAGGGCAGGTTGGATGGGGCTTGGATTAACCTGTTCAAGTGGAAAGTGTCTCTTCCTATGGAAGGGGAGTTGGAACTGGATGATGTTAAAGGTCCTTTCCAGCCCAAACCAGCCCAATCATTCTATGATTCACCCATGCTTGTATGTCTCTCCCAGCAGTTCACCTGTTTTATTCCCAAAGTAGAGGGCAAGCCTCCCCTGCCTCTACTACTGAGCATCTCAGCAGAACAATTGTCACTGGACTTCAAAATGCACCTATTTTTAATCCTATTCCATAGTAATGAAAATAACAAATCCCCCAATAATTGAGTCCTGTACTGAAATGGCCAATTTACCTCTCCATCCTCCTCCTAAACTGCCTTCTTTTTAAAAAAAGAAATTCAGCATTTCCCAACTGTATCAACCATTAAATGCAAAGTTTATGACACGTATTTAAACCACAGCCTTCTTTATCCAACACGAAGGGCTTGGGGTTTTTTTGCAGCTTGAAGAAGCCTATTTATTTTCCCTCCAGAACAGCCCTACCTTCTCCAACACCCTGCAGGTCCTCACTGCCCCTCTCCCTGCTGCACCACAGACCTGGTCACGTTTTGGTGACACACCAGGCTCTTGCTAGATAGTCAGAAAGGGTGAAGGTGGTCTCTGTGGCTGTAGAAGTAGGGATGGCTTCAGTATCAGAAAAAGAGCTTTAGGTTAGACATGATGGAAAGCTTCCTAGCAGCAAAGACAGATCATGGAGAGAGAGAGAGAGAGGAATTTCCATTGCTGAAGGTTAAGAACAGGTGAGACAAACATTTGTCAGGCATGTTTTAAGTAGGGCAGAAGGGTGAATCAGATGACCTCATAAGACTTCTTTTTTTCTTTTTTTTTTTTTTTATTCACAGACACATTTTTCTCTGATTGTATGAATTTCTAAGCATTTAGGGTCAAGTGTACTGTTTAAATATAAGCTATTATCCTGTATTTGCAGAGAGGGGAACCAGAGAGGTATTACCTGGAGCTGTTCATCACCTGTGTGAACATGGGCAATTTGCAAATCAACTGCCCAGACATAAAATCTATAATTTATTTCTGATTTTTATGCTGAAGATTAACAGGAGGACGGGGATAGGAGAGGAATTAACACTGAGAATCCTCCATTCATCTCTGCATGTTTGTAATTCTCATTCTGGAAATTCTTCTATTGCATTGCTATACATCTCCAAGATGCACATGTTGTTGGCAGGAGAGAAGCACCAGTTCATTCCACAGCTGAGTCTCCATTCTTTTCCTTCACATTGGGTTTGCAAATCAGACCAGGGCAAGGCTCCAGGACATCCAACACTGCAGGATATCTGGAGATCTAATGCCTCCCTCTGCATGTTGCCCATGAGACACACTTCATCCAGCCCAGCTGGGTTCCAAGTCTGACCTGACCTCAACTTTTGCAGCTTCAGTTGCCCCAGCCAAGCTGCCTGACCAGAGAAACTGCAAGCTCTGCACTCTACTGCTCTGGCCAAGTGCACCATAACACTGCAACCCTCTAATTTTTTATGTGCATACTGCAGGTTAGGAGAGCTGCACCAGGAATGATCCCCAAAAGACTTCTCTTGCCTTGAAGTGGCCTTGAGCAAGCATTACACCAAGGCAGGAACAGAAGCATCTTAACATATGGATCCTCTTTGAGTCAGTTACTGTTATTAGAAAAATATTTGTTACCAAAAGCCAGACTTGACCACACACCAAGAAGCAAGGACAGTGTGGTGAACCCAGCTCCACAACCAATGGTCCTAGAGTTAATACCACAAAGAAAGGCTGGAATATGCCTTCTACCAGTGTTTCCCTGCCATGCTTGGTAGGAGTTTCCCACAGCTCATCTCTACCCATCTGCTCAATGCCAGGCACATCAGCTGCATCTGTGCCCATGCAGGATTTTGGCTGCTGAGGACAGTGCAGCAGAGCTGAATTCAGGTCCAGCCTTGATCACAGACAGGTTAATCCTCTATTTGCACCTGCAGAAAAATATTTGACATCCACACAAAACCAGGAGAAGTCTCACTGATGGCTTTGTAATTGGTTTTAGAGCTGCTTCAAATAGATGTGCTGAGAGGCAGAGCAGTGGTGCTGGTGGATGCCTGGCAAGCAGGACATCAGAAAAGGAGATGAAGCCCTCACAGATGTGTATCCAGGCTCCAAACTACTTCACCAACCATCAAATATTTTCCAAGCTTAGCAGCTGGACTCTGCAACCCTCACAGCAGCCAAGTCACTAATACCTCTTCCCTCGGGCAGCACAGCTGATCTCAGGCAGGGCTTGCCAGCAGCTCTAAGTAGACTCATTTAAGGAGTGGGCAGCCCACTCAGTTACACTTTTCAGACTCCTGCTTTTTCTTCAAGGATCTCCAGGCTCTTTCTTTAGCTGGGAAGCATTAGCATCTCTGATTCACAGTGAAGAAATGCAGTCACAAATATGCTCTAAGACTTTTTCCCAATAGGTCACCCAGTTCCTGGCTCCTTGTCCTCTCCCCAAATTCTGCAGTCCTGTTCCTCCAAATTTGGTCTGATATATTAGCCTTTTTGGTCTGGGCCTCACACTAGAAAGCTATTGACCTTTCTGCTCCTGTCTAAAGCCACAGAAGCCAGGTGGCCATGAGGTTTCAAACCTCCTGATTTGAGAGGTCCAGTAATGCAAACCTTAGTATAGAGCACAAGCAGAGCAGATTTGCAAATACATGGAGAGGCTTAACAGCCCAGGAAAGAAACTCCAGTGGGAAGCTCCCAGCTTAAATCTAAAGTCAGCTCTTTGAATGTGCAGAGTCCTTGAGGCTAAACAAAAATCAAAGCCAGATTTGGGCACAGCCTTTCTCCCTGAGCAATATTCCATAGGGAGCTAGGAATAGGAAGGTCTAGGAAGAAGGGGTCCCAACTTGTCCCTCCACATGTTCAGTGTAGGATTATGAGAGAAGTGCAAGGTAAAGCAACCATGCTGAGACCTATAAAAAGGAATTAGGGCAGAGTAGGGTGGGATCAGTCTCCTTGAAATGAAATTTCCATCTGCATTCCTCTTGGTCCATCATTGTCCTGCAAGGCAACAACAGCAGGGATCCCCCAGAAAAGGCCTGAGTACAAAGGAAAGCTGGAGCCCTGGCTGGATCCCCTTACCTGAGCCCTGGCTGCCTTGAAATCATGGGGCAGGAAAGTGCTCTGGTGTTTCTCTCTGTTTCCTTTGCTGAGAAATGAACTTGCCTCTCACTTGAAAAAAAACTAATTAAGGAAGGAAATCAAAGCCCAGCAAGGCTGCTGGAATGTTGGTTTCTGTGCCTGTTATCAGAGCCAGCCCTACATTGGTGGGGTGGGCATAGGTTTCTGCAATGACAATTTAGTGAACTCGCAGAATAAACTCAGTTTCTTAAGACCATTCTTAGGTCAGGTCAACCAGCCTCTTCCCTAGTCCTGTTCTTAAATCTTGCAGGATTTAATCCTTGATCTGCAGCCAGGCCTTAATTTTTCACTGCAGAAGCAACACAGAGCTGGCTGGAAACGGGAACACAAGGGATTTGGATGGTTAATGGCCAGTGATTCTCAGCCCTAGAAGAAACAAAGCTCTAGCTTCACAAATCCTGCTCCGACTCCAGCCCAGGGAAATGAAATGACACCAGCAAGCACAGAAACCAGCACAAGATGTTGACATTATCTGGGTCCTGTTTTGGTTTAGGTTTGAGTCAAGACTGCACAAGGAAATGTGATTTCACCTCAAACAAATTGCACAGAGAAGTAACTACAACAAGCAAATTCCTCCTAAATATTTCAAGGCCCCTTGACTTAGTTTGACATCAAACCACTCATGCCCGGGAAGGTCAGAAAGTGACTCTTTCCTCAGCTTGCCTATGAGCAAGCTGAAGGAGAAACTGGTTAAATGAGGTGGTGTGGTGAGCAGGAGGCAGAGCCAGGACTGGGATGAGGCTGTCTCAGTTCCTTGGTCCCTGCTCTGATGGTTGAGCCATGCCCTAAGACCTGTGAGCACACAAGGGGGTGAAAGTTGGGTGTTTGGGGGCTTCACTTACCGCGCTGCTACAGGGAATGTCCTTGACTTTGAGCCAGGCCAAATCTAATGTCCCCTCCCCCCTGTAGCAGGACTGCAGTCTGTCCTTGATGCGATCGTTGATCTTTTTCAGGACAAAGATGCAAAGAGCAGACTCATCCAAGGACTTCATCTTCCTTTTCTGCCCCTTGGAGAACACGGTGAAGAGGATATCATCCTCAGGGCCAACACCCAAAGACCTTGCTAAGATGGCTCCAGCCTTAGACAGGTAGGCTGCCTGGAGCAGCCTGTACTCCACCCCATTCTTCTCACAGCCAATGGGCACCTCAACATAGGAGTTGAAGGCTGTGTCCTCCTTACAAAGCCTGACCAGCTTGGAGGTATAAACTTGCTCCTTCGTGGTGGAGCCAGGTGGTGAGATCATCTCGGGCTGCAAAGTCAGGAAATAGACAAAGTTACCACTGCTGAAACCATAGATGTAGTAGATATCAAAGTCAGGGATGATGGTAAAGGTGTCTGAGGGGATCTTGATCATAGAGGCCACAAACTCGTCATGAAAGACATATGCAAACATCCCATCTGCCTCGGAGTTCTTGGTGAGCTTTCTGCTGGAAATAGTGGGGAAATACTCAGGTTTGCCATCCACAGCAGTGGCAATGAACAACTTGTCATCCATGTTGCTGTAAGAAACAATGACTCCAAAAACAGAGCCACTCTCATTCACCCCAGAGAGATAATGCTCCTTCTTGTGGAAGGGCTCTCCCAGTTTGAAGAGATCATCCAGCCTCAAAAGCTTGCAGATGCCCTGGTAAAGACTCCCACAGGCTATCAATCGATTCTCCTTGTAGTCTATGAGGAGCATTTTGTTGATGTTGTTAGTGGGTGTCAAGGGCTCATTGCAGGTTTGGACTATCCTGGGAGGATAACACTTGGGATTATCTTCATCGGGACCAGTCTGGTGGGTCACCAGGACCTTCAGGTCACTGGAGAGTTTGTAGATCCTGTTGACAGCTCCCAAGTAAATGTGCCCAGTTCTTTCATCAACCACCAAGTGATTGAAGTTTCCCTCTGCTTGGTCTCCAGTGAAAGTGATGAAGGGCCTCTTTGGTTGAAGTGGCTGTTGCCTACCAAGAGGTGACACTGTGGTGGATAGCAGGAGGTGAGAAACCAGGCAAGTCCATTTCCACATAGCTGGTGACATGATTAGAAAGGTTTGTATTCCCAAGGGAACGAGGATTAAAAGCTGTAAGGGTCTTCAAAACACCAATTCCCTGGCAGGTTTTGTCCTACAAGCAGAGAGAAAAGAAAACACAAGTACATTACTATGGAGTATTCCTCCCTCCTCCACAACCACGCCATCATCAGAGCACATTTAACTGCTAATCCTCCCTTTCTTCTAGTCTCTGATCTCTCTGCTTAGAACCATCACAAAGAGAACACTCCTGAAAGAAAAGATGCTGGTAGAAAGAGTAGTAGACACATGGCAGAATAACAAACCAGCACCCTTTTGCTCTCCATTACACACACACGTGCCCCGTGGTCCAGCACAAAATATTCACCAAAAGCCAGAGCAGTGCAGAGGCTGATGGTAGGAACATCAGGCAGTGTTGTTGTTTGCACTGCCAACTTTGACCCAGTTGTGGATCTGCTATCTAAGTAGACAGGACTCAAGAAGGATTATTATCCTGCTCTGCTGGATGAGGGACTGAAGCCAGGAGAAGGTCAGGGACCCCTCTACAGGGACAGGTCCAGATGGATGCTAAGCTCTTTTGCAACCCTTGATGTTTGCCAGGAAGAAGCCAGTTCTGGTCTGACATTAACCACCTTTCAGGGGGACCTCAGTCCAGGATGGGACTTTTTGAACAGGCTTCCATATCACAGCTTCCTCATGCTGGTCCAGCTTGCAGGACAGGTGCTGGAGCTGTGCTGTGCCAGCCTTCTCAGTCACATCTACAAAGGCCATGAAGCCGAGCACAGAGCAAATTCAGCATTAGGTCTTCTCCCTCCCCTGGGTTCTCACCACAAGGCTGCTCTCTATCCACTGCACAGCCAAGAAAACATTGTCTAAAAGAGAGATACAGTTCCCCTGGGCATCTCAGATAACTGAGGGGAGAGAGGCTGACTAGCTATTAGCAGTAATAAAGTCTAAAAGACCATGAAGTGGTAAAACTAACAATCCAGGGACTAGTGTGGTGACTATTCAAAGAACGGGAAGAGGGCTTCCTAGCATCACTTACTCACTTAAGATCTCCTAGCTTTTATGAGGGTGGTTGGAGCAGTATGGGGTTTGAACAGCTTCTGTAATTTGGTAAATGTGTCACCAAGCCCCATCCTTGTGCCATACAAATGCATCTTCCTACTCAATACATCCATGTACTCCCTTTTGCTTCACCTTTTCATGGCTTCTTCTGTACCAAAACCAGCTTTGGCCCTTTTTGGCCTCACAGAACAGGTGGGATATGGAGTCTACCAGCTCAGACCTGACAAGCCAAGCTCCCTGATGAGTGCTGACTGCACAACCCTTGTTACTGGTGGCCAGGCTGGCACACAAATCTTTTCCTGCATCATCCCTCTTAAACATCCAGATCAGAATTTCACAAAGATGTTCTTGCTTTTAAAAAGGACATAAGCCAATCCCCAGCTCTGCTGCTGGAGGCCAGTGTCCTATCACCTCTGTCACAGAGTGACTGTGCTGAAAGGAGGGGTGTGACTAGCTGAGCAAAGGTGATGACAGCCAGCCCTGTGACAGGTGGAGACATGTAAAAAAAAATCACTGTTTGCAGATCGCAGCAGGGAGGAAGATGTGACAGTGACACAGGTCTGGATGTGCAGCTTTTTCAAACCTGTGCAGCTCTGCTAGTACCAGCAGAACTGAAACATTTACTTCAAGTAATAATAAAGAGAATAAATCCTGTCTTCTTTTGACCCATAGACTGATTAGATCTGTTAGTGGTAAAGGCAAGTCTGGGCTTGTAGAGCATCCACCACTTTTAGGCCACCCCAAATATTTCAAAATTCTCCCAGTAGCCAGAATTTCAAGGCTGTTGTATAATCACCTTCACCTCCTGCTGCCCTCCCTGCTGCAGCAGCCACAGGCGGTGGGTAGATGACGGACAAAGGTCATTTCACATTTACTTTAGGTGTGTTTACCCTGTTCTGCTTTGCCTTTCTGGTCAAGCAAATATTTAATAAAATCAAGCTTATACTGCAGAGTTTGCAAGACTGTCTTGCGAGCAAGAGGTTGTGCTCTGCAGGGTTACACAGGCTGGTCACGTAGGCTTTTAATAACCTTTATTATGATAGATAGAGCGGCGACGGGATGAGCTCTCCCTGCACAACCATTCCTCTTTCTCATCCTTGAGAGAGCAGCAGAAGAGGGAAGCTGTCCCTGTTTGAGTCCTGTGTTCAGAAACATCACGTGGTGACCCTGAACACTGGCTCCCGTCACTTGTGAGTTATGATCCATATTTCTAACAGACACTGGTTTGATCGGGCACTAGACAGATCTAGGGAGAAATTGTTCATTTCAAGTACTAAAAAGATATCTATTTTACCCTTATATTTTACTGTGTTTTGCTCCTTTTAGCCCTGCAGAGACAGCACAGCTGCAGGACAGAGAAGGGGGAACTACAGTGACCTGAAGACTGAAGAAGTAAAGAACAGCCCCTCTTCTGCAACAGCACCCACCTACCTGAAGGTCACCCCAACACCCAAAAGCAGAGTTGGAACAAAAAGGAAATCTGCCCATTGAATTAAGTGGTCGACACAACATAAAAGGAGATAAGCTCCAGATGTGAAATCTTTGAGGCCCAAGCAGGAGAGAACTGTGATTGACTTTGAGGTGAGATTGTCACTTAAAGAGTGATGAGGTGGTGAGGGGAACCTTCCCCCAGGTAGTTGCTAAAACAGTCTGCCAGCACTGATGGCCACCAAGCAAGGACAGAAGCAGCCTTTTGGGACAAAGCAGGGAGAGCAGGAGCCTGGGGCTGTGTTGCCATCTCACATCAGCCATCTGAGTGACTCCAGGAGTAGGATTTTCTCTCTGTACACAGCTGGAACTCACTCCTTCTCTCCCATCTACTCGTATTTGCCCTGCACCTTCTGTCATAGAATGGTCATAAAATCTTAGAATCACACAATGGTTCGTGTTGGAAAGGATCTGCAAAGATCATCTAGTTCCAACCCCCTGCCATGGGCAGGGACACCTCCCACCAGACCAGGCTGCTCCAAGCCCCATCCAACCTGCCCTTCAACACTGCCAGGGATGGGGCAGCCACAGCTTCTCTGGGCAACCTGGGTCAGGGTTTCACCACCCTCACAGGAAAAAAATTCTTCCTAATGTCTAACATAAATCTAACTTATTTCAGTTTGAAACCATTACCCCTTTTCCCATCACTACGTGTGCTGGACTCCCAATCAGTACTTGAATCTCTAAGGATTAGAATTTATAATTTAGCTTAATTAATAAGTAACAGCAGAGAGCAGGGGCAATTTGGTTGCTTAGCTTGAAGGACAGAGCAGGGTTTATTCTGCCTTTTAGAGGATGCACCAAGAAGAGAGTTAGGTGTGTCTTTTCATAACCCATATCTGGAGAGCAGAAGTCATTGCAGCAGGGAAGACAAGTGCCTGCAGCATCACTGCCTGAGTTCAGGAAGTGTTTGGATGATGCTCTCAGGAACATGGTGTGATTCTTGGGGTGTCCTACACAGGGACAGGTGTTGGACTCAATGGTCCTGATGTGTCCCTTCCAACTCAGCATGTTCTATGATTCTGTGAAGTCATGCAGTGCCACAGATACACTCATTCTGTTATGCTGCTTGGTCTGCAAGAGACTTGTGATATTCTGTTATGCTGCTTGGTCTGCAAGAGACTAATTATAAGCAAAAAGCAAACACACAAAAGGCCAGAGTGAGCAGGCAGTAAAGCCTGGGCTTAAGCTCTGAGCTGGGTGTTTCCAAAATAAACCCAAACTGCCTTCCCACAATGACCAGTGTCACTTGCCTTTTCCCCTGAAGACGTGGCCAGCAGCAATGCCATGACCCACCACGTAGGGCTCCTGGGTGAGACCAGACTGTCTCTCTACGTGGCTCCTGCCACAACAGCCTCTTCACCAGCACATTCAAGGGGTCCCCAGGAAGGTCACACAGTCTCTACAGCCCCATGGATCTGTAGGGGAAGACCCGAAAAAAACTGCTTTTGCTCTCCCTGCCAGGAATAGCTGTGTCCCTGCTCTGCTGCACACTTCCCATGCAGTGCCTGTGCTGGAGGGGCTGCCCCAGGTCACAGCAATACCCTAAAAACTCTTACTTAAGGCTAAATCTCCTGGGTGGGTCTCCTCATCACCCCATAGCTTCAAAAAGCCAAGCTACTGCCTGCCTCCTTCTCCAACCACAGTCAAGCTGTGGTGCTGCACAACCTTTGTGACATGCAGCAAACCCAAAGCAAGATGTCATTTTGGGGTTTTTTTATTTTTATTTTTTAAGGAAAAGCCACATCAGATTTGAACGTAGCCTGGACCTTTAAATCAAAGCAGAGGAAGTTTCCTCTCAAATCCAGCTGTTTCAGGCAGGGTTACGTTGGTGGTCAGAGGAAGGTCTCAGAGTCAGCTCCAATATAAGGTCTCACTCCATTCTCTTGCCTGTGGAACCAGTGGCTCAACTCTATGGCTTGGAAACATCAGATTCCCTGTAAGACCCCTTGAATTCACACAGTTAGGTTTAAATCCTGGTGGACAGGAAGTTCTTATGCTGCCCTACAGTGTAGTTACTTTATTTACTGCTATTGACCATTTCCAACAAAGGCTGGAGAGGACTGAGTTTTGGTCCTCCTCAGGAGTCTCCAAGACATGACTCCAAAACTCCACAACATGCAACCCTTAATAAATAGATGAGTCTCTGGACAAAAAAAAAGTTTGATTGCAAAAAAAACAAAGAGGAAGAAACTTCCCTAAGTTCTTTTAGCTCAGATGGTGGCTGTTTTGAAATGGGAAAGATAGGAAATGTTGAAGACATTATAAAAAATGCAGCAGGTTTCAAGGGGACAAAGTCAAGAAGGACTATGGCTGAGGAAGTAGGAATGAAGAGGACACAAAGGACAGATCTCTGAACTTAGAGAGAAGGACTTGGGAAGAAGTGTACAGAAAGAGGGGAAAGAGAGACCTGGGGTGTTTGGTTTTGATTTACAATCCCACCAAAGCCACGG